CCCGGCCCATCTTTGCTTTCTTAACAGTAACATTGTTTCTGATAGTTTTTACCCTCTGTCCCTCTCCCAACACCCCTTCTTGGTTTCCATTGTCCTTTATGTTTCTTTGTGCCCGTGTGCATGGTAGTTCAGTAAAAGGCTCCTTCGACAAGGATGCTTTAATATTTGGAAATCTAGGAAGATTTGCTTTCCATCAAATGTTTTATTTTAATCAAATGTCATATTGAAATTTTCAATAAAATGACAAGAGAAGGAGGATGGAAAAGAGAGAAAAAATGATAGTAAAAATTGGAGATGTGCATAATCCATTTTTGTCTATTCTTTTTCACCTCCTAGTGGGCTACCTCATTTCACACCCATTCAAATATATTTTTATGTGTGTTGTCATATACATTATCTTGCTCTTTCCTAATACTAGCCTTTAGTTACATTTATTTTTTTCTATTTGTCAATTTTTCTTCAATAAACTATAAGCTCCATGAGGACATGAAAAAAAAAAAAAAGAAGAGCAACACTGCACAGTTGTTTTAAATTTAAGGGCTTGAAAAATTTACCTAAAGCAATCTAATTCATTATTATGATATTTCAGAGTTTGATTCTTATCCAATTCTGGTGTTGGGAAAGCAGAAAGCTAATTTTATACCTGGGGTAACAGCAAAAGGCTATAAAGGCAGATAAATCTGAATATAAATTCCAACTAAGGCATTTACTGCATGTGTGAACTTGTATTAGTTGTTTAGCCCCTCTAACCCTCCATTTAATAATAAATGTCTTATAGGGTTGTTGTAAAGATTAAATTATATAATACATGAATACCATTTAGCATGGCACTTGACACACAGTAATTACTCAAAAAATGGTATCTATTATTAATGCTAAGTCCAAAGTATGAAGTTACTCATCTTTTATCTGTTAGAAAAAAATACACATGGGGTGAGTATGTGAGCAAATTTATATTAATAAACTTGTCAAGTACAATTATGTAAATAACAGTTAAAAATATGTGTGCATGTATTTACCAAAAGACAATTAGAAGAATGTTAATAGAAACACTATTATATTAACTAAATATTTGAAACAATCCAAATCCCTATCAGCTGTGTAATGGATAAGTGAAGATACAGTGACACAATAGAATACTATTCAGTAACAAGCATGAATATTCTACAGCCACATGCATCAGCATAGATTAATTCTGCAAACATAATAATGACCAAAAGAAGCCATACATAACAGAGAATATATGCTTTGATTACATTTATATAAAGTCCCAAACCCAAATTAATCTATGCTCATAGAAGTAAAGATAGTGATGACCCTAGAAGGGATATATAGTGACTAGAAGTGTGGACTGGTGAGGGGGCTTCTTTTGCAGTGTTAATAATGTTCTGTTCCTAGAACTGGTTGATCTGGGGGCAAGTTACAAAACTATTATCAGTTTATGAAGATTAATAGAATGATACATAATTTATAATATGTGCACCTTTCTGTATGTATGTTATACTTTAATAGAAAGTTTTTTTAAAGAATAATAAGTAATTTACATACAATGAAAAACAGTAGAACTCAGATCATTTCAAGCTGGGAACAGAGGAAAGACCCTACTGGTTTCTGACTGCCACTTGCCATCACTAAAGTGAATGAATCTTTAATCTCAAGGCTACCAGTGGCTTCACAGCTGAAATATGTAACAGTATCATCCAGTCCTGGAGATAGAGATGGGATTTAGTAAAAGAGCATTTGGCTTATGTTAAATTTTTAAGGACAGTGGTATACAAGTGCATTCTTGGTGATTGACAGTCATGAAGTTAAGGCCTTCTGGGATCTACCACAGAAAGAAACTTAAAATTACATATTGCAGCTTTCACTTTACTCACATTTCTATTCCAAGAAGTATATTCTATAAAAGATAAACAAAAAAAATTCTGTATTTCCTTGCTATGTAAATTATGTGATCCATTTCATACGGAATTATTAATTACTATTAGAATATTAACA